CCCCCCGTCGACAACAATTTTGGAAAGTGTCTTCGGAAAAAAAATTTTGACAACGCGGGTGAAAATCCGAAAAAGTCGGACAAATTACTTTTCGCCCCCCTATTTTTTTCCTTCCCGTACGCCCATGTAAGAGACCAAGTAAGGTGGCGAGTATGGGTCGGTTCCTGCTCCAACTTCCTTGGTCCAACTTATTTTCCACCCTGCAGTCGTGCGAGGAGAAACTTAAGTTGTTTACAGAACTTATCAATCTCGGATTGGACATTATTATGCCTAAACTGTCAGTGAAAGTCCATGAGACAGATCGATCTCGGTTAACTGCTCAATTAAAGGGTCTTATCACTCGCCGCCAAAAGGCCATTGGGTCAAATAATCAATCCCTTTATAAGATCCTAAGAAATAAATTGAACCGGGAACGTAAGCGATGCCGTAGTGCTTATTACGAGTCTAAAGTTAAGGATTTGGGCGATACCAAACCTCGTGATTGGTGGCGCGAAGTCAAACAGATATGTGGTACTGCCAAATGTACTGGGCGTGATCTATCATCCATCCTCCATGCTGATTTAGCATGTGATGATGAGTCAGTTTTGGCGGGAAAGATCAACCATTCATTCTTAATTGTGATGAGAGATTATGCGCGATCAGATAGGGATCTGATCGCGATTACATTCCTACAGATGGTGATCTACCAATATCTATCGACGAGTTTTCGGTTGCCAGAAAACTTGGAGCTGTTAGTATTTCTCGTGCATGTGGCCCAGACGATCTTCCTAATTGGATGCTGAGGGAATTTACTGACATCTTGGCTGGACCAGTCACCGACATTCTTAACTCTTCTTCTGCAGAATGTAAAGTCTCTCGAGTCTGGAAGCTTGCCAATATTCCACCAATTCCCAAGCCTACTACAATACGTGACTTTAATAAGGATTTAAGACCTATTTCACTTACGTCCACACTGTCTAAGATTGCTGAATCCTATATCATTGAAAAATCCTTAAAACCTACAGTATTACCATCATCAATCCCAACCAGTATGGCTTTATTCCTGGCTTATTCACTAACCTTGCACTCATCTCCATGCTCCATCATTGGCTCAGTAGTCAGTACCACCGACGGTACTGGATGATCGGTAAGAACTGTTGTAGTTGATTTCCGCAAAGCCTTCGACTTGGTCGACCACCAGACGCTAGTGACCAAGCTCTCAAGTCTTGGACTAAAATCTACCACCTTGAATTGGATTATTGACTTTCTGAGGGACAGACAGCAAAGCTAAGGATAAAGCATAGTGGACACTGCTACTCTGACTGGTAAAGCGTACCAGCTGGGGTCCCTCAGAGAACCCGTCTCGGCCCGTGCCTTTTTTTGGTCATGATTAATGACTTGAAGACACCTGATGTTTCTACACTTATGTGGAAGTTTGCTGATGATTCCACCGTTTCTGAAGCAATTCCACCATGTAATCACAGCAAGCTTCAGCCAGCTGTCGTTCACATCAGTAGCTTGTCCAAGGAGAATTTCTTTCAAATTAATCCAGCAGAGTGGAAGGAGATTTGCTTTACTTTCAAGAGAATCCCCGTGAATCATGTGCCCATTGAGGTTAACGGCATACAATTTGATAAGGTTCCATCTGTAAAATTGCTTGGCCTGACAATTAAAAATTATTTTAAATGGAACGCTCATGTTGATGCAATAAATCCAAGGCTGCAAAGCGTTTATATATTACGACAGCTCAAGCGTGCTGGGATAAACACTCATGATTTAGTGCAGTTTTACTGTGCTGTATTAAGATCAGTCCTAGAATATGCGTGCCAGGTATTCCACCGCAACCTCCCTGATTACTTATCTACCCAGATTGAGGCAATACAGCGGCGCACAATGAGAACGATTTACCTTGAGCTGAATTACACAGACGAACTTGAGGCAGCTGATTTAGTAACACTTTTCGCTAGACGTGATAAACTCTCTAAGGACTTATTTGAGATGATAGCCAGCGATACAGATCATAAGCTGGCTTCACTTCTTCCGCTGAAGGCTTCCGATACCACCATAAATCTGCGTCGGATGAGAGACTATCAATTTCCAAAATTTAGAACCAATAGATTTAAGAACTCTTATATAATTAGTCATGCTATGGAACGTTATAGAAGTTAGTTATATTGAACATTATTTGGCAAATAGTAGATGTAGTATATTGTAAAATTCTTAGCACGTAATTCAGCCTTTGGCTGCTAGGTTTTTTTTATTGGAATAAACGATTTATCAATCAATCAATCAATCAATCAATCAATCAATCAATCAATCAATCAATCAATCAATCTATCTATCTATCTATCCATCTCTCTATCTATCGCTTGTTTGCCTTCTTACCATAAGTTAAAGCCTAATTTAGATAATTTTCAGTGAAGTCATATACCAAACATGTTGTAGAGCAATCAGGAGGTCGATAGACTACGCACACGAGGATTGCTCTAAGCTTCCTGTTTCTGCTTCCTGCTTCTGCTGTGGATTGGTCATGTCTAGATAATGTGGTCACTTGCGAGGAAAAGGTGTCAATCTTTAACGATATAGTCGTGAACACGATTAATACCATAATGCCTATTACGGCAAAAAGATCCATATAAATGACGCACCTTGGATGACCACTAAGCTTAAGGGCCTAATTAGAAAACGGAAAAAGGCATTAAACAATGGAAATGAAACCGTTTTTAAATATTACCGTAATAAGGTAAACTTGGAACGGAAAAAATGTAGATAAACGTACCTCCACGAGAAAATCAAAAGCCTTAAATACACTAAGCCTAAAGATTGGTGGCGAGCAGTTAAGAAAATTAGTGGAATGGACCCAACTTTAAAGCCTGATATTTTATCATGCTTACAGATCGAGGAATTTCAACCTGAATTGGATAAGCTTGAGATTGCCAATCAAATTAATGATTCATTCCTTGAACCATTACAACGTTTCCAAGCGTTGAACTCTTTAAATTATGTCAATACCTCGGACGTTTCGAATATCAGCGACTCGAATATGCTGACTGTTTCAGAGTATGAAGTTTACAGATGCTTAAAATCACTTGATTCTTCTAAATCCACTGGCCCCGACGATATCACTTCATGGGTACTTAAAGAAAACGCAGTTCGGGTCATCTTATTTGACTATAAAAAAGCATTTGATTATATCGATCACACCATTTTAGTATCAAAATAGAAACTTCTACGTATACCCGCCACCACTCTTAATTGGATAATAGACTTTCTCAAGGACAGAAAACAACGAGTTAAATGGCAAATGATTGTTTCTCCGAATGGGGCAATGTGCCGGCCGGACTACCACAGGGCACCAAACTCGCCCCATGGTTATTTGCCATAGTGATCAGTGACCTTAGACCACCACAAGTAGATCAAACCAAGTTTGTGGACGATTTAACCATCTCAGAAATAGTACCAAAAAATAACTCAAGCAGAATCCAAGAATTCGTTACTAGTATTCAATCGTGGTCTGATACTAATCTTGTCTCCTTAAGTGACGAAAAATGTAAAGAGATCAGAATCGACTTCAAGAGAATCAAAAGTGAATTTTCCCCAGCACTTGTGAATGACAAGCCATTAGAAGTTGTACGGAAGGTAAAATTACTTGGTCTTACTATTCAATCTGACCTTAAATGGAGTACCCATATCAATAATATCATATCGAAATGCTCTAAGCGTTTATACCTCTTGGTTCAGCTAAAACGTGCAAACGTCCCAGCCAGAGATATTATCCCCGAGCCGCCGGCGCGAAGCTCCGTGCGAGGGTACTAATTCCCCCCGGCTATTTACACCCGGGGAAACGAAAGCATTAGCGAAGAACAGGGTGGACTTTCGTCTACGCATGCGTGAGAAATGTAAGCGTGGAGTGCACGTGAGCGCGGGTTAATCGCGTGACTGAATTATAAAAACAAACATCAAATTTGCCAAAACTACTCGTGTTATGAAGTCGTTT